AGCAGTGAATACCCACACACAGTGCGAAGTGGATATTCCAAATGGAAGGCTATGTGCACAGAAATCCAATTTGTGTGATTTCTCTTTCACACACGAACACACACAGCTACATGTGTTGTATATGGAGACTGCGACCCACTCCTCCAACCAAGAAATATATAGTATTGGTCTGTAAACATGTAAACCGGGCCAAGACTTGCACAATATGTTGCTGCACTATGCAGCCTGCCCATGTGGTTGCGGGGACAGAATGTGCTCTATTAGGTGCAGCAGTTTGCCACCTGTATTCCTGTCAAGGGATAGCTGCTACTTGCTCCAGGTAAGCAGAACATAATGATGCAAGCTTAAGGTTACAGCTTCTCAGAGATGTACTGCTGCCTTCTTAAGAAGTACCCAGCTGATAACAGTGATTCTAAGCAATGTTTCAGGCAAGGAATCAGGACCAATCGCTCCCTGTTCCTGGCTTAAGAATGCCAGCAATTCTTTCTTTCTTTTTGTATATGTAACATAACTCCCTGGATCACACTATCAGACTGATTCCATCAACTTTGCTCACAACAAACCACACCTTCTTCTGCGACATGTCCTTTGCCAGGGCAGAAGAGTAAAGATGTCACTAACATACCTTGCATATTCCAGTAGCAGGCATGTACAACCACAGGTATTAGTGTGCAACCTGATCTAATATTAAGACTTTTCTATGTTCGCACGGCACAACTTGAGATCAGCCTGAAACAAAGCATCTACCTCAGCTTCTTTAAGAGGTTGTTTGCAAGTAGTTTTGCTCAATCCGACTATGATAAAAGCCTAAAGTTCACCTAAAGTTCAGTTCTAAAGTTCATCAGTAGCCATAGTGGTCCCCATCAGATTTTGTGGACCACAAAAGTCACCATTTCTAAGTCATGCATCAGGAGGGCTACCCTTAATGAACAGTGCTAAGCCCAACAGAAATAAATGACACATAGATGCTAAAGTGTGTGAATTTAAGCCAATGATTTCAACAGGGCTCAAGTATTGTTTCAACTTCCTCCAATTTGTGTCCCTGGCCTTGTCTTGATTCTAATTACGCAGCTGTTGCTGCCGCACCATCCTCTGAAAGATCAGAATCTGTTCTCCCCATACCACCTGCCAATTGCAATTCAATTATAGCATTTTGCAACCATACAGCAGACACTAAGCAGTTTATCAATGGCTATTAGCCACAATAGCTCAACTCCACAGCCCTCTTACTGCAATCACTAACAAACATAGCTGAATGTCCAGTGTCCAAAGACCTTCAGGATACCAGATAGATAAGCCCATTCTCTCTCCTACTTCTAGATTCCACGACCACCAACCACTATGTCCAATTCCTGGCTATTTATTTGCTTATTGCCATTGGGCGGTTCACATAATCTGGTACTCACAAGATGTACTGCACAAAAACATGAGCCCTCTTCAGTTGTACTCAGCCCTGTACTCAGGTGCAGAGAACACATGGAGGTTCTTCTGAGAAAATGGCAGCTAGCCCTAGATGCATGATTGGTGCCAGTTTGAATGGGGGTCCATGCACATGAGGATATGATCTCAGATGGCCTAGAGTTCTCCTCCTTGTGGGGAGAGCTCTACAAAGACATCTCCTTACAGGTATGCCTCCTTCCACATTGATGCCAATGAAATGCCACCTGTGGATATGGCCAATACGTGTACAGATATCTAGGGTGTGGGGCTAACCAGGCAGCCTCTTCACATTGTTAAGCTATCATGGTTAAAAGCCATATTCAATCACAAAGCTCTTGAAAGGCAGCGGCAGCTTTTGCCAGCGTAGCATTGCCAACACTTCTGCGGCACAAATTGTGGTGTGTGTGCTCATTTATTTATTTACGCTGTTTCACCAATGGCGCTCAAGGTGGTAAACAACAATAATGTAAATACAATACTGGGCTTGTGCAGCAATTTGCGTTACTCCTGCTGTGTGCAGTTGCTCTTGGGATCAAGCTATTAAGATTCTGCTTCATAAACAGCTGTTTGTGCTCACAGTCAACGCTACATCAAATAGCCAAGTGCATGTTTATGGGAGTCCACTGGCAAAAGACAGGTGGCTTGGTAAAGACTGGGCAGGTGTCTTTTGCTGCCAAAAGCTGCAGCTGGTCACCAGGTACACCTAATAAGAAACAGGTGCAGCTGCAGCTGTTTTCAAATCACGTAAGGATCTGAGGTTACCAAAGGTGCCATGCGAGCTGGTTCTTATACCTCCAAGTTAATGGTTTTAAAACTGCAATGCAAACCATGTTTTACCTAGATGGCTCCATGCAAGTATATCAACAAACTGACAGAACAAAGCAGAGGGATTTGTGACAAGGTCAACGCAGAACTGCAACTGGGACCAAAGGAACGAAATTACATTGCTGGGCTCTTTAATTAGCCATTGGGGAAACCCTGAATTAGGTATGCTGGGTTAGGCCACATAACCATCAACGTCTCTGTTGCACAGGCAAATGTAGACCCAACAAACCCATTTACATTAACCAAGAACAGATATAAACAGCTTTGGTTTCTCCTTCACTAGAAAAGTGCTGGACACAGCCCTCAATCTCGTGCATTATTTCACCGCTGTACGCTTTGCAACGTTCATTTCAACCGCAAAGGCACGCTGTACTGATTAGGAGATAAGTTAGCCTCAAAAACACTCGCTCCCCCATGACAGACACGATACGGAAAAACCCATCAACTTGCTTACAAAAAATAAAATGCAGAAGTTTCAAAAGTTGTTCGCATAGGCAGTTTTGCAGGCATTCGGGAGTGAGAACTGTATATGGTTGCTGGAGTCTCCTCTCAGTGGCAAATTCTAATATTGCACCTGCGCAGGATGCAGCTCAGACTCCTCGTGAAATGGTATTAAAAGGTATTTTAAGAGCAACAAAACTAACATGTTGGAAGTCCATTGCTGCAGCCAGCATAGAGCAAGTTGAGAACATTTAACCAATTATTCCTGTGCAACCAGCACGGTAAACCACTCTATTATGCCTTCACTATTATATCCAGGGAATACTGTGACTTCTGCATCGTGTTCCTAACCCAGATCCTTACTAATCCTAGACAAGCTTTCTATCTGTCACTACTCTATAGAGAAACTCTCCCTTCCCCAAAAAGTATCATCTCAGCTCCTTTTTGTTGTTGTTGACTAACGTCCTGCTCCAAAACACATTTCAATGTTCCGTATTTCCAGTAAATAACACTCCTAAAAGATCACAATAGCAGGTCTGCAAAGTGAATGGAGGGTTGTTTCTTTATGTGTTAGATAGGCACTTCATACTGTTTGTATAACAGAATAATACACCATGCATGTGGCAATCCACGGACCTTTGCTCCGTGGATGTCCAGAGCCATGCGAACATCTCAGTTGATTTCACTCACAGATTTCAGCTGCACTGAGTTTCGGGTAGGAATTAGTGGCAACGTTTAACAACACATTTCTGCTTAGGTTTCACTGCTGTACGAATACAATTAAGCCTCTTTGAGTGGCTTCTGACATGCACCTACCAGCAACAGGTATGTCCACCGGTAGCAGGCTGAAAAACGCATGTTCACTATATAATATGTCCTTTCTATGTACCAAATGGCTCTCACTGACAGGTGCCAGCAGAGGGTAGGAATCACCTGACAAAATCACCTTATGAGGTTGGGGGAAATGAATGATCCGGCAAACAACCGTGGCAGCAGTTGCCACTTTAAGACTCAGTATGTTAGCTCCCCAAAGAAACAGGTCATTTTATATGCCATATGCAGGTTCCACTCTCAGCACGTGTTGTCTGACACACACAAAAACAGCAGTGGCAATAGCAATTGTGTGTGATAGTCAATACACATGACCTGTGGAGACATGGCTTGGGAGTTGGGATGAGCAAGATTCTTCAGCAGTGGCTACACAATCAAGTGGTAGGGGGAATCAACACAAACTATTGCAAGTACCTGCGAGTAGGTCCGCTCTACTAACCTAACATGACAAAAATTATTTCTCAATATCAAAAGATTTGTAGAAATTACAACTTGCTTTTTATGCAATAATAATAATAATAAACCACCCTGCATTTTCAAAGCAACATTTTTCTATAAAGGGTAGTTATGCTCCGAGTAGACCCACTGAAATCAATGGGACAAACTGGCATGATTCCAAGTCCTATGGGCTTGCTTCTGCTTTAAGGTGCACAGGATGTTACTGCGTTGCCCCCTTGATTTTGCCACATAACTTGATTTTCCCTCTAGGACGGGAGTGCTCCTTGCAGAAGACCCCTGTTTCTCCAGAGAATTTAGGACAGGACTCCCTGATGCGATACACTAGGGCGGTCATTTGAATCCTACTAAAACACGTTATTTGGAAAAAGCTCCTTCGCAATCAATGAAACGTTTTGTTTTGTTTTGTTACCATCCCCACCCCTCAAAATATCCTAACTTTAAAGTTGCGCATTTAAGTATCGCGGCTTGCAAAATAAACCTGCAGCGCCTTTCCTGACGCTTAACGCTCCTGAGGATCGGAGCGCTGGAGCCTAAGGGTGGCCGCATCCCGTGATTGGCATGACTGCAAATACTGACCTACAACTTAAACCGGGCTCGAGATCCCTTCCCAATGGGATGAATGAATGGTGAAGCTGACCTCGAGCTCCAACTGCACTTCCTCTGGGAAAAAAGAAGCCGAGCTGTTTCACCCAAACGCGCGAAGCCCTCCAAGCTGGTTGCCAAACAATCCCTTCTGCCCCCCACGCCCCCAATTTCCCCACTCTCCGCCTGACCCTCAGGCGTGTGCATATTCTGTGCTCCTCGATCCCCAGATCCCCGGCACGGATCTCGAGGGAGAGGCGCGAAACCCGAGGACGCGCCTCCCACCCGGGCACCGTTTGTGCCTCTCCGCGCGCGCCCCTCGTTCGGCTGCCGTGCGCAACCGTCCTCAGCGCGCCAGGTGCCGCCGGTAGCTTCCCGGAACGCCGCCGTTTCAGAAGGGATCCGACCCGCTCGCTTCCCACCTGTTGATTCGCCCAGAAGAAGAGCCAGCAAAGCGACCGCCCAGAAAGCTGGGGAGCCTTCCATGGTGCCGCTGCCCGGCGTCCGATCCTCCAAGCGCAGAGGCTCTCCAGGCTGACCTTTCGGAAGAAGGGTCCCCTGCGCGCGTAAAGACACACACAGAGAGAGACGCGAGCAAAGCCAGCTCCGCGCGGGGAGCCCGACTCGCACTGCCTCTCGCCTCCTGCGGCCACGCCTCTGTCTCTCTCTCTCTCCAGCAGCCCACTGGCTCCGACAGACAATATTCCCGCGACAAACTCCAGGGGCTGGCGCGGGGTAGGGAGGGGGGGGGACTTGCAATGTTGAGGGCTGAAGGGAGCCTATCAGACCTAGCAAATTATCTCTCCTTTTTTTTTCTGGAAGCGTTCTAATGTACACAGAGGAATCCTTTCCCTTTTCCGTTGAATAAATAAATAAATAAACTCTCTCCTCTCCAAATCTCCCAGACACTCCAAGGGAGATGTGTTAATTAATAAGGTAGTACTGTAGTTGTTTTATGGAAAGGGGAAGAGGCAGTGCAGAAGTAGCTCTCCAACAATGAAAGCCACCATGACTTCCCTTCAAAACTCTACAAAGAAAACATTTATTTATAACAGTTGCTGTTATGGAGTCAGCTGTTCTTTATGAGATATATTGTGCCAAAATATGAACCCTTTCCTATTGTTTAGCACCCAGGTGTGCAGAACACATAAAGTTGTGCAACTCCAGAGGGGGGAAAGTCTTGATCTGCCCCAAGTTAAGCATGTTTATGTTGCATTAATTGCAATGGAAGGGCTGAAATCAGTGGACATCAAAAGGGCTTGAGTTAGGCTAAATCCTGTGCATTATGAACCATTGCTATTATAATATTTTTACTGACGAATAGCCAATTCACACATGCACCAAATAGGCATATCAGGGCAAAATGAGGGAATGGATGCAGAGTTTGGTATGTGATATGATATGAAGACGTTTGTGTGTATGCGTGTGTGACAGCTTCGAAGTGAGGTTTAGATTGTTCCACCTTAGGAAATTAATGTGAGTAACGTGAATCCGGCTCATGGTTAACTATTCTCACACCACTGCACCACATTCCAGTTCTGCTTAGATTCAGACCCAATTTATGCTCTTTGGCTTCTACTCGTTCTTACTATTGCTCCAATCGCTTCCAAAGAAGCAGCAAACAAGAAAAGCAGGGATGGGGAACGTGTGTCCTTCCAGATGGAGAAGCGGAGGCCTTCCATAGCTTAAGAAAACAGCTCCTTTCAACATACCGTAGTTACGATTAACCATAATTTGAAAGTTAGGATGTAACACTAAATTGTGATTAAGCTAAAATGGAAGCAGAAACTTATGGTATGCAGGCTGAGACCCTACCTGCCTGCGGACTGTCTTGCCAGAGTAGTGCATGCTCTAGTCATCTCCCGCTTGGACTACTGCAATGCGCTCTACGTGGGGCTACCTTTGAAGGTGACCCGGAAACTGCAATTAATCTAGAATACAGCAGCTAGACTGGTGACTGGGAGTGGCCACTGGGACCACATAACACCGGTCCTGAGAGATCTGCATTGGCTCCCAGTACGTTTCCGAGCACAATTCAAGGTGTTGGTGCTGACCTTTAAAGCCCTAAACGGCCTCGGTCCTATATACCTGAAGGAGTGTCTCCACCCCCATCGTTCAGCCCGGACACTGAGATCCAGCGCCGAGGGCCTTCTGGCTTTATTAGAGCAGGCATTTGTCCAGAGATATCGGTGGCCCTGATAAATAATTCCATGGGGCCTAAAATATGGGGAGGCAGGAATTAACGTACCCACCATGGCTCTCAGTTTTATGAATTGGTAGGAGTAGATGGGTCTCGAAAGGCTGTATCAACAATGAGAGAGCAAAGATGTATACAAAAGTCCTATCTTCATTCATAGTATAATATTCCAAAGGTAGCACATTGCTTACTGATGGAAGAATTCAAAACAACTTGCCAGAAAAAAATCCATACAAAGATTGAGAGAAAGGCATATTGCTGTTCATAACAATGCAGCCACTATCAGGATAAAAGAGAATTTCTCTTCCTCCCTCTTCAAGGCCATCAGATACTTGAAAGAAATTGCCAGTGGTGAGATGTTAGTTTTGTTGCTGTCCCAAACTGCAAATCTTTTTTCAAAGGTTAACAGCCTTATCCCACATAGTCTGGCAGCATCAGATGAAAGATTTGCCATGTATGTAGAAACTGTCTGTCTCGCCATTTCTTTGCTCATTTTCATTTTTTGACAGGGACTCTCTTTTGTCTGGTGGATCCATCCTTCTTTGCAAAGTAAAATATTGATACATTTACATCAGATAGAGTACTTCAAAACTCATTTCACATTAGGGTCAATCTCATCATACTTTTTTTTTTTAAAAAAAGAGGAGAAGAAGAGGGGGATTAAAAAATTACCAAAAAATAAAATAAAAGTCATGACTAGCCCACATTTTGTGGTTATTTGTCCTAGATTCTGCAGAATGGATATGACTTAATCTCTTCAGAAATAAGGAAATCATTCAAAGTTCCTCCATGAGTCCATTTGCCTGTGGTACACACATCACGATGACACAAATATCTCCTCACAGTTCTATTCATTTTGTAAGATTTTAACAAATGCATTTCACTTAATTCTATTTTGCAAATTCAAGTCAGATGCAAAACAAGAAACAACACGCACAAATCACCATGCAAAACATGGTGTTTTGGTGATTTTGGTTCTTTAGAGCAGGCCAGCACCACTTATGACCAACCAAGCAAAAAAATGTAGAGTGGGGGAAATCAACAAACCTCCTTTTCTTGCCTGGTTGGGAATGCAAAGGAAAAGGGTGGGGTTGTCAATCCCTTATAGGTCAATATATGTCTGGTGGCCCACCTGTGAGTTGTAATATGCCTAGTTTAGAGGACTGCAGATTTTTTTTTTTATTTTATGGAAGGCACGCATGACCAATCAGATTTCCAGGCCTTAAGGAATTCATTGATGTGGAATGTGCAACTGGAAACAGACACGCTTATATTGCACACCCTCCACGTGCCCCTGTTTTCCAGGAACAGTCCAGGAATTATGGAAGCCGTCCTGGCTTCTGATTTGATTCCTGGAATGTCCTTATTTCCCCTGACAGTGCCACCACCACCGAGCTTGGGGAAGACAATGAGTCAGTGCTTGTTCTGAGTGGCGGCGGCAGCGGCAGCAGCAGTTGCGCTGAAGCATCCTGTTGCCTCTTGGTTGCCTCTCCACCGCTGCCAGCCTCCTCCCTTGGGCAGCTTGTGGGTCTGAGGGACAGGCAGAGCATAGGCCTGCCCTGGGCAAGAGGAAAGGGGGAGAGAACCAGAGGTGGTGTTGTTTTTTAATGCTTTGCGTGCCCACATCTAACCTTGCCCCTTTCTAAAATTTATTTATTGGTGTGTGCTTTTCTTTTTGTAAATCTACCAAAGAATAAAATCGAGATTAAGGGGTGTTTTCAGGACGGTGGAGGGTGTGTGTGTCCTGTTGGTTTGTGGTACAGTGGTGCCTCGCAAGACGAAATTAATCCGTTCCGCGAGTCTCTTCGTCTTGCGGTTTTTTCATCTTGCGAAGCACGGCTATTAGCGGCTTAGCGGCTATTAACGGCTTAGCGGCTTAGCGGCTATTAACGGCTTAGCGGCTTTAAGAAAAAGGAAACAAACTCGCAAGAACTCGCAAGACGTTTCGTCTTGCGAAGCAAGCCCATAGGGAAATTCGTCTTGCGGAATGACTCAAAAAACGGAAAACCCTTTCGTCTGGCGAGTTTTTCGTCTTGCGAGGCATTCGTCTTGCGGGGCACCACTGTAGTGGAAATGCTCTGGGTAGGGGGCCAAAAATGGTGTGTGTGTGTGTGTGTGTGTGTGTGAAGGAAGGTCAGTTGTGGGGTGTGAGAAATGTCCCTATTATCACCAGAGGAATGTTGGAGGGTATGATATCGGGTTGTAAGATCTCTTTCCTTAAGTTTTTTTCCATTGTGTACAGGGAAAACATCAAAATAAAGTACTATAACCAGAAAGGTGAGTGGTGGGGAGGGCACCGAAACTTGCTTGGGTGTGCAGCTCAGGCCTGTGAGAGCTGGGTGTGAGACTCATTCTTTCTTAGAGTCCCTCCTGAGGGGATTCTTCTGCAGAGGTCTAAAATGAGGTACAACTCACAATATGAACCTAAAGGTAAAGGTAAAGGGACCTCTGACCGTTAGGTCCAGTCATGGATGACTCTGGGGTTGCGGCGCTCATCTCGCTTTATTGGCCGAGGGAGATGGCGTACAGCTTCTGGGTCGTGTGGCCAGCATGACTAAGCCGCTTCTGATAAACCAGAGCAGCGCACGGAAACCTTCCTGCCGGAGCGGTACCTATTTATCTACTTGCACTTTGCCATGCTTTCGAACTGCTAGGTGGGCAGGAGCTGGGACCGAGCAACGGGAGCTCACCCTGTCACAGGGATTCGAACCGCAGACCTTCTGATCTGCAATCCCTAGGCTCTGTGGTTTATGTAGGATTCTGCTACTCTTACTTATTTAAAATATTTCTACTCCACCTTTTTTGCATCTCTGAGATACCCAAGGCTGCTAACAGTCGCTGTTGCTCTTGTCCTTCAAAATATAGTATGCCTCTACACCACTGCAAAATACAGTTTCATTGGTCAGATCAGATAAGTAGAATACTAGTTGGTTGACAACTCCATCTTATATATTCCGTAACAAAATTGGTCTGGGATTATGGATGTCTAGCTTTCAAAAGTCACTGACTCTGGGTAAATTTTGCATTCTATATTTGTATTCTATACAGTAATCTAATGAAAAAGTCTGGGGTAATGATCACATCCATTTTGGATGGAGATGCCAACTGTTCCACAACAAGACTCTGGTGTGCTAGAAGGAGCCATAATGTTGCAGGATGCCTTCGTAATCAAAGAGTCGCTTATTGCATATATCAAAATGGCTCACTTATTTTAACGTTGTTTGGTTTTGCTAATTAGCTATAATGATTTGCAGTTCAAGCTAATGATTTCAGGGTTCAGAGTGGATAACTATTTTTACAGCGTGACATCCATGTTGCATGGCATTTTAAACTATCTTGAGCAGCAGCTTAAAAGCACTTCTTTTCAATAAGTGTGTCTCTAATTCCTGTGTCCAATCAAACCGGGCAGCAGTGGATCTTTCTCTCCTTTAAAAATAAAACAACATTTTGTGTGATTATGTAACCCAATACATTGCAGAAAGGTAAGACGCCATTCTGAA